AAGTTAAAATATCACGGGGAACTCAAAGTAATTCTTTAAAAACCAAATTACAGGAAAATATCCTCAGTAATGTGAATGCAACAAAACATTTCTGGTGACTTCTGCAGTGTCCCTTGACATATTGGCAAATTTCCAGTGGTTGTTAAATGCCAAAAGTCATTTCGGGTTTGTTGACATCAGGATTCTAGCACTTGGACCATTTCAATAAAAAGTAGTGGTATACTGTAGTCTTAAAAACTTTGGGGAGAAAATTAATCCTTTCTCAAATAATTGTATTAGGTTCAGTAAGCAAATCTCAATGAGGAGTTAGAGCCCATTTGAAAAAGTTCTGAAGCATGTGATTACCACAAGTAATTACCACATGGGTCTTCACTCCATCAGCAGCACTCTCTTTGCCTCTGACCTGTGCAGACAAAATACCTGCAGACCACTTACCCCAGCGTGGTACAGCCAGAGGCACAGTAGCATCCCAGACAGCTGCATGGCACCCGGGGAAGCACCAGCTCCTGCTATGCCCATTGCAGCAGCCCAATCAGTGACTGCTGTGGCAACAGCTGCTTTTGGGTCCCCCATAAAGGTGGCACCAGAGGTACTGACCTGTCATCCCCCCTCAGCTATTCTATTCATTACCCTCTATCATCTGTCAGTCAGGAGATAGCCCTTTATTTCTTAGTAATCTTATTTTGCATTAAGAATCTGACCTAATCCCAGGTCTGTTAATGCACAATTTCCACACTGACTTCCATGTGCTTTGACTTGGGTCACAAACGAAAGAGACAGAAAAAGGACATAAAAGAAAAAGAAACTCACATGGAGCTTTCAGGAAGCTTTTTACTACTCTTAGATTGATGTTCTTGATTCTTATTTTAATGGTAAAAAGGCACTAGAAAAAATTTAAAATATAGGAAATGAACAGAAGATATGATATCAGAATCAAAGTTCTGGCCAGCAGGATCAGTGGATCTTATTATTAACATGGTTTGAAATGGACTCGGGTTGTAAATGTCAACACCCTGAACCTCTTGTCTATTAAGCTAACATAGTATTATTCTTATTATAACACATTCAGTAACTACTTTAGTTTATATGCATGTAAACAATTTCCAGTAAATCACCATTCATTCATCCATTTCTTCCCTGAGTATATGTGCCAAAGAAAGTGTAAACAATGGGAGGGAGTATACATTGACAACTATAGGCTTTGTATATTGATTAGGCGCTGATGTTCCTATACTTCAAACAGTAAAGAAAGAGCCAAAAAGGAAAAAATGATAGATGTCAACTGCCTTGGAGAACTTACTAAACTACTATTAGTACACGGGTCCTTACTCCATTTTTCACAAAGAACTGAAATAAATTATCATCATTGACAAGTGACACCTGTCTTGTGTCTTGATCCATGGCTGGTCAGACTCATTAGACACGTTTCTATTGCTCACGTATTCTGTCCCTACCTAATGCGGTATCACCCTCGCATGTTCCCATACCTGAGCAATGAAGTCCATCTCCACTGTAGCCCTCTAGACACTTGCAGACATAGCCACCTTCAGTATTGATGCACTCGGAAGAGTTTCTATTACAGCGGTCCATATTAATAGCACACTCATTGACATCTATGAGGAAAAACACAGGGTTAGGAGCCAAGGGGCACATTAGCCATGGAGCAATTACTGGTATGTCAAGGGACGAAATGACAGAAAAGAGATGCTTGTATGTGATCCACCCGCAGACTACACTATTACTTGTACCTTGTACTTCTAAAGCATGGGGAAATAAGGAAGTGGTATCCTTACTTCTGAGTATGAATTCAGATTAGATAGTTAAAGGATCCCATTCACTCAGATGCCTGACCCTTAGCTACTTTGAGAATCCCAGACTTTTTAAAATTTTAATTTCTATCAAAAATGGTACGTATAGGGGAAATCTTCACTCCAAAGATTTCCCCAATCCATAGCTCTGACTTCCATTGACAAACTCTTGAAAGCATAATACTTGTAGAGGTTAGAATGTAAATCTTTCAAAGCAGAAGCACTTATCCCTTCATGTTATAACATTTCACCTAATCATTGATCCTGTGAATTAAAAAAAAACCCTACAAAACTACACATTTCCAATGAGACACATTCCAATAAGTCAGTCTTCCTTCTATGCCAATTAAAGTAGATGTACTCTGAAGAGCATGTGGGAGGCTATTTTGTACCACAAAAGTGTTCTACCAGCACCCTCAACTCCTTTTCTGTCAGCTTGCGCAGCCCTGCTGATCTCAGTGGGGGCACAAAGCATATTTTGAGAAAGCACCACTTTTTTTTAGGGGGTGTTGGCTCTAGCCATGTTGATCTAAGGACATAGGCAGACAAGGTTCTTTGGGTAAATGTGATATCTTTTATTAGACCAAGTAAATAGTTGGAAAAAATATTCCTTTTCTGAACATTTTTTCCAACTATTTAGTTGGTCTAATAAGAGATATCACATTTACCCAAAGAACCTTGTCTGCCACTTGTTTTAGTGGTATACTTCCCTGAATGCATTTGTTTCTGTCTGAAAAGAGCCATAAGTGGAACAAGACAGGATAAAGTATTTATTTCTGAAACCACAATTCAACTACAAGGGGTGCTGTCCCGTAAAGATGCGTAATATACTCATGTATTTTACATATAGCCTCTCTGCCAATCTACAGTGCCTGGCTTTTCAAGAAATTTAAGAATAGGCTTTGATTATGAGTGTGTAATTTAGGCTAAAGGATTAAGAGGTAAAGGTGCAATGGTTCAACACATGTGGTGAGATGCAGTTTCTCTTCCCAACTGTTGTTCTTTCAATAATGATCTAGGCAACCACTGTGTTTTCCAGTCAAATGCTTGTCTGTGCTTTATTTTTGTCCCTTTCTTCCCCTAGACATTTGTGATATGCCAAAGTGCTTCCAGTTGCTGTTTTTGCAAGTCCAAGAATGGGTTAACTGTACTATACTTGGTCTTATTGCAGGAGTACCTAACACCATTTTCTAATAGCAGAGACAGACAG